AAAGCAATTTTGTGCACATCAGTCATAATCACAAGTCAGATGTTCATCTGAAAACATGCCCCAGGGACGTGTACAGTTACATAAAGTGAGATATATGAGAAGGTATACACTTAAAGTTTAATGCTGGAGAAATTAAAAATGCCAAGAAGAATTAAAGAAGGCGCAGATAAGAGGGAGACTGTTGTCTGTTTGACTGATGTTGAGTACGACCCTGACATCTGGAGACATTCTGATGAGTGTGTTTTGAGGCGTCTTGCGTGTCACTGTGAGTTTACATGACGAGGGTCTTGTAAAGCATGACTGGCAGGAGGATAATCAGAACCAGCGTCAGGAGGGCAGGAGTCCTGTTACATCACAGAGACGAACACTGAACCTTAACATAAGAGATTTAACTTTTAGCATTTGACTGAAAAAGCTGGTTGATGCCGTCACTGGATACTTCTGTGCCTCCGTTAAGTTTCTCCACAAGCTTCATCTGAAAACATTCCAGGATATTAAAAGGCACTCGAGTGTTTCCATTAAAGTGTTTTCTTTGCCCGGGTGGTGAAGCCTCTGAAATAGCATGCAGCTTAACACGGGACACAAAAACACCGTAACCCAGGATACAGAGATAATAAAAACATAAACATACACGCTGACGTAGCTCTGAATCTACACAGCAGCATGCTTCAGTTTTACATGACTGTAATAAAAAAAAACAAAAAACATAATATATCATCTCACAAGATTACTTTAAAGAACAAGATCTGATTTTTAAAAATAGTTTTTCATTCATTTCACAATTTGGAAACTGCAGAGTGATGGAAATTAAGTACATTTGAGTTTTTAGTCTTTAGGTTCTGGTGCACCAATTAATAATGCCTGTCCTTGTAGATGTAATTGAGCTGTATAAAAATAATAAAAGGGGAATCACTGACAGAACCATATGCAATTTTTAATGACACTCCAAATGTCAGCCTCATATCAGTATCAGCCAGTGGAAAATCCAGACCAGATAAGCCGATAAATGGCAATCAGATTCTCATTTATAACAGCCTGCGATCTGAACCTTATCTGACAGTAACTACAAACAGTCCAGTGGAAAGATGCCCACATAATCTGATCAGACCAAAGTGATCTGAGCAGGCCGCATCCTGTGTGGGAGCTAAAAGGGCCGTTGTGCAGCTTCATTTAGGCTTTCCATCATCAAAGGTTCAAGTTTTTAAAGAATCAGATCAGTGATTCTCAGCCCACGTCTTCTGCAGTCCCCAGAGGGTGAATGTAAATGTTGTGGAGTTATTTGATAAATGGATAAATTGTTAAATAATAACCGATAAATTGTCTAATAGCTCATCAAGGTTACAGGTAGGAACAGCACAGGTAGGGAGGACTCAGCAGACAGGTGAAATTTAACAAGCAGATGAGACAGGTAAACAGACAGTGGGCCGGGAAGCTCAGGTGATTGCAAATGACGAACAGGTGAGCAGATGGACATGGGGACAGCCAAGAAGAAAGATTGATGACATCTGGTGGGCAGGTGGAGGATGACAGGACTGGGGAAATGAGAAAGTGCAGGATCTGGAACTGGGAGGCAGATTGTGACAAATCTTATATAAACTAGTTGCTAAACATTTGAAATTAGCTAAAAAGAATAATGGGTAAATGATTGAAATAGCTACTAACCTAATGGATAAATTGTTAATGTAATGGATAAATGGTGGAATAGTTTAAAGCATGGCTAACCGTTAACATTAAGCTAACTAAATGAAAGCTTAAAAAATTGATAAATAGGTGAAATCGTAATGAGTAAATGGCTGAAATAGCTTGAAGTCATAGATAATTAAAAGTTATGCATAAATGCTTGAGGCATCCAGCTTGCTCCAAGTGATAAGTGACTGTAAACATGACCAAACCTAAACACTGACAGTTCATCTATGAATAAAATATAGGCTGGTAACAATATCCACTTTATCGTTAAATCATATCCAGTTTAAAAACGCAGAGAACCACCAGTGTAGATGTCAAATAAACACATAAACATCACTATATAAACTCAGAAAATGTCATGAACACCACACAGGTGCTCCAAAACTCCAACACTTTTTGCTTTATTTGAGGAATTGTCTTTACTTTAGTTTCCCTGTCAAATTTATTTATGCATTACAAATATCTTGATATGAAGTATGAGAAGTTTAAGACAACATGTTCCCTTCAAGTAATCTGACGCTGAACCTTTCAGAAGAGTTAACATACAGGTCATAGGTAGAAATAACTGTACAAAAATATGCAGGTGCACAATATGCAATCATCATAATGGGTTTTCCATAAGAGTCGGTGTTCAGTGTGGGACTGCGGCTAACAGAAGTAAAAAGAGAGGGATGCTGCTTGTTCTTACACTAAACACAAGAACGCAGATATATGTTGGTGTTTCAGGTATCTGCAGCCATCTTTATAACGCCCTATCAGATGGAAGTGTTACATAAAATTCACTGAAAAATCAGTTGAAACTGGAGAGATGTCATCATGTGGCACGTAGCTGAGGGGTTCAAAAGATAAATAACAGTAATAACATGGATTCATGAGCAAGGAGCACAAATAAAATGCAGTATAATGTTGGATTACAAGGTACTTTATAAGCAGGAGCAGAGAAACTAATATAAAAAGCAATATACACTGTAGGTACACCTGGGAGTAATATAGAAAAGATACAATAAGACAAGATAAAATTGCACCATTAGACCAAGGGAAACAGCATCAACATGCGAGGAGTTGATAAATATTAACAACTAGGGATAAAGAAAGTTTTAATTTGGAACTATTTTTCTACCAAAAGGTTTGTTATTTTTACAGCAGCACAGGGGGAAAGTGTTTGACTTTATTCATCAAAATGCTGTGAAGAATAAAAGAATGATGTGTATTACACCGACCTCTAGTGGTTAAATTGTGCAACTGCAGCACTTAAGGACCACATAACATACTGCATGGTAAAACATCTGGACCCAGAGGTACAGTATAGTACTATAAACTGGTACTCACTATATATCCGAAGAAAAACATACCAATAATAATACAACTAATGATAATTATAATAATACTAATAATAAAACAGTGTTGTAATAAAGGCTGTGGTATGTGACGCTGTGTTAAACTGGCAGGTGTTTCTATTATTTTGTCCACGGCATTTAAATCAGTGAAATTAGGCTGTGGAGAACAAGGGAGTAACATTTGGGTATTTCTGAGGAAAGAAATAAATTAAAATTAATTCTTTTTTGTTTGGAAAAAGTGTTTTTTCTTGAGGACTTTGCCCTTGGACCTCTGTCCCAGTTCCAATGTCCACAGTTTTTTTTAAACTTTATTAACAAAGCAATATGTACATATAATATACGCACAAACAATATTGATTGTATATATGTATATGTAGGCGAGTGTATATAGGAAAATATAGTTTTTTTAAGATAATAAAACAAAAAGCAGTGGTGGAATGTAACAAAGTACATTTACTCAAGTATTATACTTAAGTACTTTTACTTCAGAGGAGTATTTTCATTTCCTGCTGTTTTGTACTCCACTACATTCATTTCAAGCCTTAAACTACTTGATATTTTTGCAGATTCAGGTTATTGTGCCAAAAGCAGTCAACTGATAAATTATGATGTATTACTTCATATAAAGTGGTGATGCTCACACATTAATGCATTACAATCCAATGATATAATATATATCAATCTGAACTGGACCATCCTGCACCATGATTACTTCAATCTTTTTTGAAACTCCTGCACTGAAACCTGTAATTTCTTTTTACTTTTGTTTTTCTACATTGTGGTATTACCTATTTTAATATATGTGCATACTAAGAAATTTAAACATTAGTTCATCTCATTTCCTCCAAAACAAAGAAAAATGTCTTCATCCTGTAGTTGGATAATTTGCTCCGTCTTCCACCTTATGAAAGGTTCAATGTCACCCTGAGTCCTGGACTCTGACAGACTTTATCTGGCATCACCTGTGGGATTATCAAAGCACAACAGTGTGGGTTCAACGTGATGTAGGAAGGGTGTCTGGTAAATCCTCCAAGACGTTGCAGAGAGGGAGTAAAGTCCACCGCAGGGCTCACGTGCAGTTAAAGATTTCAGCTCTGAGCCCTCGGACTGGTCAAGTCAAACTCTGTGAGTCCTTTGGTGAAATTATATTTATAATAATTATTTTCTCTTTTCACTCACAACAGAAAACTGTATTTGTATGTAAACAGTTTATTAAATGTGTGTCGGCATCCTGTTGTGAGAAACCAGTCCAAAACATGTGAATGTAAATTTGTGTATTTCTGTCCTTTATTCTTTAACCAGCACAGATATTTCTGCAGTTAGCTCCTGGACTGAGGCCACGTGACATAAGTCAACAATTATGAATTAACCAGAACTTTTTACAGTATGTTGTACATTGTATACTTTTTTATATAAAACTGACGTTGTTCAAATCTTTTAAAATAGGCTGAAAACTTAAATAGGAGGTAAACATTGTACTTTTTATTCTAACTTTTGTTTTACTATTACTCACAGATTCAGATTAATAATATAAAACATAATCGACAAATTAATTAAATGAATAAAATAATGAAATCCACAAACTACCCAGGTGTATATAAAGTTAAATGCAGCCTCGTGTTTAGCAGCTGCAACATTAAAGTGAAAGAAAAAAAAAAAATTGAATCAAATAATAAAATACAATACATTATTCTATAAAGGGGTCTTTTGGCATATTAAGAAGTATTACTTTTAATTTTGTAGTTTGTGAATGTAAAATTTTGAATGTTTTACTCTTACTTGTAATTTGTATTTCTAAACTGCTGTATTGGTTCTTTTACTTAAGTAAGAGATGCGAGTACTTCTTCCACCACTGGTAATAAATAACACTCTTTACTTTTAACACTTTACCTTCCTCCCCCACCACTTGGGGTCTGGTGACGTTCCAACCTAGGTGGTATGAGCAGAGAGCCTCGTGACCGCGCATTACACGCCCCCGTCCACAGGGAAACAAACCGCCGAGGTTTCAGATGGCACTGAGACCCGTACTGAAGTTTCTCTGAGCTGACTTTTACGAAGCGACTCGGTCTTAATGTATGTTCAGACTTTTTAAATAAGTTTTTAGTAGTTTTTTTTTACTTGCTCGAAAGCTAAAAGCTTAAAACGCGTATTGTTCCATGTGGGCCGTGAACGCAGCGCGACCTCAGGCAACTTGACGTCGTATCTGCTCATTTGAGGACCGACTGTGGTAAGACGAACAATAACTAACCGAGTTATGTTTGTGCTGCTGTCCCGCTGCTGTGTGAGGGTAACCCGGATTAAACCTGTCAGCTGTGCGCTCCCTGGAGGGATATCTCGGGCTAAGATAGCACGAGCTAATTCCCCGGGGCCTCTCGAGCTTCCCACTTCTGTAAACCTGCGCACAGTTTTCAGGTACTTGGCAGGTAGGCTGGTTTAGTATCTTGGAGACCTTCTCTCTCTGCACGTGACGCCAGACTGGGTCCAGGATGTTGGGACCAGGACTCTGTGTGGGTCAGACCACCTGTTGCAGTACTCCTGGTTCTTCTTTATGACTGCACGTGGTGAAAACATCTAGGACGGTCCTCTCCTGAGTTACTGATTCAACAAACTGTCAATGTACATGTGTTTGTTGTGTGTGTGTGTGTGTCTCCACAGGAAATCATCAACCATGTCCCAGACTGTCCCTCCAATTCTCTCCGTTCACCCCACCCGGGCTCTGGTGGATGAGACGTTCAAGGTGCTGGTGGAGAATCTACCTCCAGCATCTCCAGTAACAATCCGCTCCCTGCACCACTCTGAGGACCAGGACTACTGGGAGGCCTACGGGCACTACATCAGTGATCACAGAGGAACAGTGTCTGGTGGGTTCCGGTCCTCCTGAATCAGTGAGACTGTATCTGTAGCACCTTTCTTACAGGTTAACAGAGCTTTACAGAGACGAGTACAAATGAAAACAGTAAAATAATGCAAAGAGTAATGCACACGATTAATAAAAAAATGTTAAAGTGACAATAAAACCAACAAAATACATTTTAAAAAAATACAATAAAATAGAGAATACACAAAATAAGACAATGTTAAATAAAATTTATGAGAGGAAACAACAATCTAAAAACATGATTGTGTCAAAATCTGATTTTTAAGCCCTCTACAAGTTTTCTAACTAGTTTTCAAAAAGCAATGAGACTCAAAATGAGCAGACACTACACAGTAAATTTATTTCAATATATGCTGTGAACCAAATGTAGAGAATAACTTTCCCATGAATAGTTATAATAGAATAAATCCCAATAAGAGATTTGAGTAAATTATTTAAAATGGACCTTTTATGTATTTGACACCATTCAGTCACTTAATACATAGACCGTTGTTTTTGTTTTTTTCTGTCTATATTGTTTATATTTTCTGTATTATGTGATGACTGAATAAAAACTACTAAACTAAAAAAACAAATAAACCAAACTACAGATGTTGACGCCTTAAATCTACTGTTGAGAAGTGGTCATAGCTTCGACTCGACTTCTGTTTTCTTGCTCTTGACAATTTCTTGCTTCTGCAGTTTCAGAGGATTTGAGTTTCGGGGGCACGTACACAGGAAAAGAGCCCATGGGTTTGCTGTGGAGCATGCGTCCCGTCCCAGGCAGCCGCAGAGGCCTCAGGTAGTGTAACCTGCAGCTTCACAAAAAAAAAAATCAGAGACCATGTCGACTTGAGGTGACCGACGTCCTGATCTCCACTCGTCAGGTTAAGAAAGATGAACGTCTGCACGCCCATGCTCGTCGACATCTCGGTCTACAGCGGACACGAGGGCTTCGGGGATCGGGCTCCTCTGGCCTTGGCGCTCACAGAGAGATGGTACATGGCTCCGGGGGTCAAGAGGATTGAAATCAGAGAGAAGGGAGTGCGCGGGACCCTGTTTATACCTCCAGGTAGAGCTGCAGCACCTGTGTTGATCTTCAGAGAGACACTGATTTAGTACTTTTACTTTTTAAATGTGTGTGAAGGATCTGAGTACTTCCTCCACTTCTGCTCCTGTGATGACGAATGGTCCTCCCCTCAGGTCCAGGACCCTTCCCCGGCCTGTTGGACATGTGGGGAGGGGGTGGGGGTCTGCTGGAGTATCGCTCTGCCTTGCTGGCGTCTCGGAGTTACGCCGCTCTGGCGCTGGAGTATTTCTCTGCTGGTGAGCTGGTGTCGGCAGAGCTACAGTTAAAATACTTTGAGGTTTGTGTTGTGTTTAATTACCTCTAGGTTGTTTTATTATTCTGATATGATTCTGAATGTGGGAACAAACTCTGACACTATATTTACTTTGTCTCCTGCAGCCGTACATTGGTTGTTATGCTGTTGTCAGCAGGTTTTAAATTCACATTTAGTTGATAAAAATACAAAAACAAGATATTTCAAGACGTTCTTTTGGGCTTTACTGTGACATTTTTTAACTATTTTCCACATGATTATTTGATTTATTGAGTAAATAATAAGCAGATTAATCAGTAGGGCTGCAACTAATGATTATTTTCTTCAATTTATCGCCTCTCACTGAGGTCAAAGTGACATCTTCAACTTCCTAAAACCTGGAGTTTATATAATATAAGATAGTCCTTTATTAGTATTCATCAAGATAGTTAGAGAGGTGCTTTGTTGTGATATCACAAAGTTACAGGAAGTCCTGACGGCTGGTTTTAAGGCTCAGTTTCTGAATACATGCTGTGTGCATTTCTTTGGGACTGAGGCTTTGATACTTTCACAGTATTAATATAGAACCTAGACCTGATCTATAATCAAACTACACATAGACAGAGACCTTTACACTGGATGGGACCTTTAACAAAACTTGGATAAAGATTCCTCACATTCTCACTTGTGTCAAACTTCCTGTTTCTCACTAAGATGTTGAGGAGGAACTTTCAAACAGCTCAGACTAATTTTCATCCACCTCTGTACAGACGGCGTTTAACATCCTCAGGGATCATCCTCAAGTGATGCCAGATAGAGTTGGACTTTTTGGTCTTTCCTTGGGCTCGCTGGTGTCCCTGTACTTGGCGACTGCGAGCACTGCTATCAAAGTGAGTATGAGAAGCGAAATATCTCGGAGCTGCTTTTTCTTTAGCTTTGAATAAATGCCTTGGAGAGCTGAGAGTCAGCAGGTTTTTTCGCTGTTTCATGACGTTTTCATTGTGTCGTGTTCCAGCCTCGTTGTTGTGTTTGCATCCAGCGGCAACCAACTCGTACCCACGTGGGAAGCCCTTCAGTGCGAATCACAGGAGCCTGAGCAAGGGTAGGGTGTTGTGTTTAGTCAGCGGCCGTGAAGCAGACGTAAAGTCTTTACAGCTGTGTTGACACAAACTGTGGAACGGTGTGATCGCAGGATTCTCACAAGGTGCGTCGTGGATGAGCAACAACCATGTGATACGCGCAATATGGTCTGGCAATACTGAGTAACCCCTTATAATAACATGGGACGTGAGTAATTCACTAACAACACACAACGATTAGGAATATATGTCTATACAGTTACGCCATCTCAGTCAACTGTTCTTTAAGCACGTGTTTTTAAAGTTGTTCCTGTGCTAGATGGGGAAAATAAACTGTCCATTGTTGCTGGTCAACGGTCTTGATTGATCAACTGCCTCCGTGAGCTCGGTGAGGACGTGAGCACAAGCACACACCTGAATGTGGAGTTTAGACTGCAAGAGCAGTTCAAAATTCATAAACCTGATGTGTTATTTACAGATTAACTCCATGTATGTAGACAACCAGAATCGCCACCTCAGCGGTTGTATCCCTCCGCCAACCAATCTTCAATCATTGAATAATGGCCAGAAATATTTTTTACAGAACATGTGATTCACAGTTAAGTTGACCTTTGACTTTTTCGGGATATAAAATGTTATCACTTAATTTCTATCCTCAGACATTTTGAGTTTGAACTGGTGTCAATAGTTATGGCCAAAACGCCAATTTGTGACGGAACAGATGTTGCAGAAATCTGATGAAAGTGGTGTTCCCAAGTGATATATAATATATACTTTTGCACCCTTCAGATTGCTCAGCTGATGCGCTATGCCGCATAGGTAAGAACAACCTTGCTGACCAGCATGACGTACCCTTGATGCTGGACACCTGAATCCGAAGCAACGCCCCTTCTCACCTCACTTCAGAGCGACTACTTTCATAGAAATGTGTCGAAACAAAAAGGTGAGTTTTACACTGACACAAGAATGCGAGCTTTTGTGTTTGTCTTAGCCTCAAGTGGTTCACTAGACAACTGCAGTTTTTTCACTCAGAGGTTGATGCTTGGTTTTACTGAGTGCTTAAACTATGTAAAAACAATATACTCTCATTGCTTGGTCTGGTCACTTTATCTTTGTCACTTCTGCTAAACTCACTCTCTCCTCTTTT